TTGGGGGTGGAAGAAGGCTTGGATCGCGTACGAAGCATCAATGAATGGGAAAGAGGGGTGGTTGAGGCTGCTGAGTCCCAACCACGAAGACGTGCAGCACCACAGTGTAGTGTATGTGGGATTATTGGGCATACTGCCCGTACATGCTCTAAGCGTACAGGAAATAATTGATAATATCAGTTTGTTAATTTTGGGTTGTATTCAGAACTTGAAGAGCATTCTTGTTGTATGGCAGGTGGGAAGTGGCTCGCTTGCTTATGTGGCTCGCTCGCTTATCGATTACGTTAATGCACTTGCTTATGTTATTATTTATCACCTGCTTATGTACTCGCTTATCATTTCCTTATATCTTCGTTTATTATTGCCTTTTATTATGTTCTCGCTACCACTATTTCCATATATGTATATATACACCTGCATGTACTCTGCATATCTTCTTTTCTCTTTCTTTTCTTTCTTAGTGATTAGCTACTATTATTACTGCTATTTATTATATTAATATACACTGTTTACTATCTTCTACTATTCACTCTTCACACTGTTATCACCCTTTATAAAAAACAACACAGAAGAGTGCTCCAAAATCATGAGCAGAGGCTGTTAAGATGTGGGAGGAGACATGAAAGAAGCTGCTATAATTGAATATACAAGCATGGATTGAATGGATTCCAGTGCATGTTAAGAAGATAATTGAGTTGAAGGGTGGTAATGAATATAAAGAAGATAGATGAAAGCAGAAGAAATAATGAGAGGGAATTTACATGTAAAATCTGGTATAAATTCCTAGTGGCTGTTGTGGTGTTTTTAGTGCCTGAACAAAACTTTTGAAACCGACCTCCGTATATTATCTTAAAATCTAATTGTGTTGTTGAAATAATGTTGAAAATATTTCATCATAGTAATGGCGAAATGGCGGGCGTTGGGTGGTGGATTACGTTATCGGTTCACCTGACTTTGCGTGCAGGACGATTCGGCTATTATTACGTATTGTACTGTATGTTACAAGTGAGAGGCACCTACTTGCTCACCTGCTGCATCAACTGCCCATGATCACTCCACGCCACCATACACCATACAAAACACTGAAAGAGAAGAAATAAGCAGAAGGAAACCCTTTCTTCTTGGAACTGGTTTATCAGGTGCGAATTCATTTTTCTGATCTCGAAACCGGAGCCGGAGCCTCGCGATATGTCTGCCATACCCCAACACCGGTGAACCTCTTACCAGGCGTTATTCGTTGGTTTCCCCACCACGCCAGCAGCAAAAATGGATTTACTCCAGAAGGAATATCAACGACTTTGGAAGCGAGCTCACAGCGGGAAAAGCATCAAAGATGTGCAGGCCACAATTGACCTGCTCCAAGAAGCAAGAAACACCATTGCCAAGAGTGAGTTGCTCCTCTTGCTAAACACATTTCCCGAAATCGATAACAATATGCAAGGCCTACGGGAAAGGGATTCACCATTTTAAAAAGATTTATACTAATGTCTTATCTGTTTAGATCCCAGTTCAGCGCCCATCACTTTGGCAAAGCTACAAAATCCTGTCAAGTCTTCCTTCGATGCAACCAACGAGAATCTCAAAGACGCCCATAGCGGTCTTAACAAATATACCAAGGGCTTTGGACAAGGTAAGATCACAACATGTGAATGGGCAATCTGTGAAAATACTGTGCACATAGAAATGGTTCAAGGAGTATTAAATTTTTGTTGTCTTTCTTTATAGCTCTTTAAAGACAAGCCTCTTCCCTATGACGCTCTTTCAGCACAACCCGCACTGGTGAACAGAGCTATTGCCATGCACCTACTTCGGGAGGGCCAGTTTTCCGTCGCGTCTACGTTTTTATCAGAAGTAGCCAAAAATCCAACTCCCGCACAACCCACTCCTGAGCAACCTGATTCTGACTCTTTCGATATTCTCATGGAGATGGAGCAAATGAAATCGGGAGATATCACGAAGCAGTTTGTTCTCATGTATCGAATCCTTCATGAGTTAAAAGAAGAACGAAACTTAGTACCAGCCATACAGTGGGCCTCGGATCATCGACATCAGTTAGAAGCAAGGGGAAGCAATCTAGAGTTTGAATTGTGCAAGTTGCAGTTCGTGTGGTTATTCCATGGAGGCAAAAATCCGCAAACACCGATGACAGTTGGCCGGCAACTGGCCTTGCAGTATGCCAGGAAAGAGTTCTCAGCTTTCCAGAGCAGGCACCTAGCGGAAATCCAACAATTGATGGGGGCTATGGCATTTTGCCCTAATCTCGCAGACTCCCCGTATAGAAACATTTTCAATAATCCTTCTTCCTGGGATGATGTAGCACGTTCCTTCACCTGCGAATTCTGCTCTTTGCTGGGCCTAGCAGCAGAATCTCCCCTATACATAGCAGCTACGGCTGGTGCGATTGCCCTCCCTACGCTGCTCAAGCTACAAACCATCATGAAAGAAAAACGTACGGAATGGACATCTCAAAACGAACTTCCAGTAAGAAAAACAAGTCCCTCCATATTCCCTCATTGTTTCTTCCCCCCAACTTCTACTCTCCTACAAGCCCACCACTAATTAAAGTGCAGGTCGAAATCCCCCTCCCACATCATACCAATTCCATTCTATCTTCGTCTGCCCCGTCTCGCAAGAGCAAACCACTGACGAAAACCCGCCCATGATGATGCCCTGCGGCCACGTCATTGCGCAAGAGTCTCTCATGAGACTCAGAAACGGGCTCCACCATTTAAATGCCCGATACTGCGCGAACGAGAGCTATCCCAATGGACGCCCAGAAAT